GATGCCAGGGGCTTAAGTGGAGAGCAAATGTTTTGAGAATGATGAGGGCAATGAATGTACAAATGTGCTTTATACAATTGATGTATGTATGGATTATGATAAGAGTTGTATGAGCCCCTAATAAAATAATTAAAAAATAAGATAGGTGCAGTGTGTATAGGCGTTTGTTCATAGTTTTTTTTTAAAATTATAATTTGGCCCTCCAATGGATCTGAGGGACAGTGAACTGGCCCCCTGTTTAAAAAGTTTGAGGACCCCTGGTCTAGAATATAGTTTTTGCATATGGTGGACGAGTGACCGTAGGATGAGTGAATGAATGAATGCACAGAGCCACTGGCATTGGCACCAATCTTAGCTCCTCAAGCAGGTGATAGTGTTGGGCTGCTAACTACCAGGCCAGTGGTTTAAACCCACCAGCTGCTCCGAAGGAGAAAGAGGAGGCTTTCTTCTCCCATCAACAGTTACAGCCGTGGAAATCGCAGGGGCAGTTCCACTCGCCTACAGGGATGCCCTGAGTCAGAATCAACTCGATGGCAGTGAGCGGAGAGAGCGCTCAAATGAAGAGGAGAAATGATCGAACTTACCCTTTGGGACTGGTTTCTCGTAAAGCTTTCTTGATGGAGGAGAAAGTGGGCCTTTTCTCGGGAGATTCGTCCCAGCAGGCCCTCATCATGGCCACGACGGATTCACTGCCCCGCTCCTTGGACACGGACGGCCTCAGTGGGGTGGCTGCTGTGGGGTTTCTGATTCGGTTGATGATTTCTGAAAGCCATTTGGGGGCTTAGTGGTTACCTGTGCTAGTTGCTGGCGTTTTTAAATTAAATATTTACATAAACGGAAGCCGATTACATATCCTAAGAGAAATATTTTTTAAATCCTAGAAATTGAAACTGGATTCAAAGCAACCATGCACCCCAGCTAACTACTCTTTGAGGGGATCAATAATTTTTTTTTTAGGGGAGGGAGCACTCGCTAGAACCGATGGTGATGACACCACTCATTTCAAAGGTGATTTAACCATTGCTGGGGGGTGGGGGTGGGAGGAAATGCTCTACAGCAGATGGTGGTCATGATTGCACCACTCTTCTTGAGATCGTGGAACTGCTGAATTGTGTGATGTGTGGATTGAGTGCCAGCAAAACTGTTGCGGAAAAATGTTCTTTTAATGGATTCATTTTTCTTGAAGGACGGCATCCCTCAATGTGATTGAAAATAAAATAAATCACCATGGCCCAGGAGTCCAGTTCAACTCTTAGTGGTCCTTTCACTTTTTTAGCAGCTGTCAGATAAGCACCAGACTGCTGACTGCCAGGTCAGTGGATCAATCCCACCAGCCGCTCCTCGGAAGAAAAATGAGGTTGTAACCTTTAGTGATGTTTACAGCCTCGGGCGCCCTTGAACAGGTTGCTGTGAATCAGAATCCACTTGATAGCAGTGGGTCTGGGGTGAGAAACGTTGGGATTGGACATTCCCAAAGGTGTTCGATGCAATTTTGTATCACATGTCATACGTGGCACAAAGACACCCGTAACAGATCTGTAATTGTTACAATATGCTCTGTCTTCATGGGCAACCTTGTAGACCTATGTTCACTTTTCTTTGGCCAAAATGTAATTTTCTTTCTACCTCAAGAAAAAGGCATGATTTGGATAAATTGTAAGCGAGTGAGCACTTTCTGAATCAATTCAACGAAAAGGGCTGCATCAGAGGCCTGAAGCCTGGGAGGAGCCTGTCCCAGGGTTACCGGTGGGCTCCGCGTGGAGGTCATCGAAGGGCCCGCCAGCCGGGTGGTGGAGCAGCTGCCACAGTAGAACTGCAAAGCTGTAAACGTCCCCCTTTGGGGTGCCTGCGCAGGGTACCTCGGGGAGCCGCAGCAGCTCCGGGGCCGTCCAGTAGAGCTCTGTAAAACAAGGACAGACGCAGTCAGTTCATTGTAGTCACTCGGATGGCTCCGCCAGCTGTAACTCCTTTGTGAGGTGTTACAATGGTGGGCTCTGTGTCTGCGGCGATTGTCCCACTTTGTGGGTGCGGGTGGGGTGGTTCTCTGCCACACTACTGGTCGAGTCCCGACCTTAGTCCGGGTGGTGAACCAAATCATGCCCTTTGTTTCCTTGGGGGGAACATTGGACTCTGCTCTCCTAAGGGGTGTGACTTAAGACCCCACCCATCATTTTCCTTGGTGGCAGAGTTGCTAAAAGACAAAAGCCACACTTTTGTTAAAGTCATTCCTTGGAACATACGAGCCATCTCAGACAGCGGGGAAGCCCAGGCCCATCAGAAGAGCCTGTTCCAGACCTTTGGCTGGAATGGGAGAGGCTGGGACCAGAAGCATCAGAAATTGTGGCTGGGAGATTATGGGACACAGCAAGAGGGTGGGTGAGGCAGAGTGATATCGGCCTTCCTGGTCCAGGGAGGAGAGGCGGGGGGACCACGGAGTGGAGAGGGTGAGCCCTAGAGAGAGACTTGGTTGCTGGCAGAGGAGAGGTGTTGCTGTGGGCTAAGGGCTGTCTCCTTACTGTTTCCTGATCCTTAGTAACTTCCCGACGAAACCCTGATCCTGGTGAGTGTTGTCTGGGTGTTCTGCGAGCCATTGGAGTGAATTATCAAACCCAGCATGGAAAGAGAGTGCCGAGGGGGGAACCGTTGGTGCCAAAGAGCGGGTAAAGAAGGCGAGACCATGGAGGCATGTTTGACCCCAGGCCTCATGGCAATCGGGAATACAAAGGAGGCAAGATAGGACCCTCCATGCCCTTTGCTGCCATGCGGACATCCCGTACAGTGAGAGCAGCCAGGAAACAGCAGCAAGCCGCCCTTCTCCCCCAGCAACAGAAGATACGGGCGTGCCCACCCCTGAGCAACCAGCCCTGCCCATGGCTGGCATATGGGGCAGAGGGGTCCTCAGATATAAACAAAACACAAGTCGGGGGGACATATTCCCTGTGGCTGATGCACACCCTTCCACGCGTACCTGAGTAGTCGGTCCTCTCATTGTACGTCCTCTCTGTGGCCCCGTACTTAAGCATCCACAGCCCAAATCCTGAGAGCTTCACCTGCAGGCGCCCGTCCACCAGGCAGGTGGAAGGCTTCAGATTGCCGTGAGTCCTCAGTGGGCTCCCGTGTAGAAACGCCAGGCCCTGGAAGAGCGAAAGCGAGAGAGCCCATGGCACCTAGCAGATGCCCGGAGAGAGAGGAGGAGCGCACACCACCATTGGGCCTGGCTGGACCAGGGACCCTGCCCAACTCCGTTCTCCCCTCCATGGGATCTTCCATGGGACTCGATGGGGCAACTCAATCCTGGGCTGCTGGTGTGGGTGCCTTGTGTCCGAGCCCCGACTCATAGCGACCCTAAGTGCAACAGAAGGAAATACTGCCTGGGTGCTATGCCAAGGTGACCTTTTTTTTTTTTTTTTAATGTTTGAGCCCACTGTGGCATCTACTGGGTCAATCTGTTTCCTTGAGGGCCTTACCCATTATTGCTGCCTCTCTACCAAGCATGATGTCCTTCTCCAGGGAGCTGGTCTCTCCTGACAACGTGTCAAAGCATGTGAGAAGTCTCATCATCCTGGCCTTTAAGCAACATCTGGCTGTACTTCTTCCAAGATAGGTTTGTGTGTTTTTGGCTGTCCGTGGTGCATTCGATATTCTTCGCCAGCACCCTAATTTGCGTGCATCAAGTCTTCTTCAGTCTCTTCCTTAGTCAGCATCCACATCTCACATGCATGTGAGGCGACTGAGAATAGCAAGGCCTAAGTCAGGGGCGCCTCGGTTCTCAAAGTAATCTTGCTTTTCAACACTTTAGAGCAGTCTTGTGCAGTAGAGTTGCCTAATGCAATGCGTCATTTGATGTCTTGACTGCTGCTTCCATGAGCATGGATTGTGGATCCGAGCAAGACAAAGTCCTGGACAACTGCAATCTTTTCTCCATATTATGTTGTTACCTATCGGTCCAGGTGTAAGGACTTTGGTCTTTGTCACATCAAGTGGTAATCCATACTGAAGGCTGTAATCCCCGATCTTTATCAGCAAGCGCTTCAAGTCCTCCTCACTTTCAGGAAGCACGGTCGGGTCATCTGCATACCGAGGTCGTTAATCATCCTCAAATCTTGATGTTGCATTCTTCTTAATATTATCCAGCTTCTCTTATATTATTTGCTCAGCTTACAGAATGAATAACTATGGTGAGAGGATACAATCCTGACACACACCTTGCCTGATTTTAAACCAGGCAGTCTTCCCTTGTTCTGTTGAGATAACTGCCTCTTGATCTACGTACACATTCCACAGGAGCACAATGGAGTGATCTGGAATTCTCATTCTTCTCAAGGCTAGCCAGTTTGTGATTATTCACATAATTGAATGCCTTGGCATAGTCAACAAAACAGAAATAAACATCTTTCTGGTATTCTGTGCCTTCAACCAATAGCCATCTGACATTAACAATGATATGCCTTTTCCCATACCTTCTTCTGCATCCAGACCTGAGTCTCTGGCAGCTCCTGGTCATGAATTACTGTAACCCATCTTGGATGATCTTCAGCAACATTTACTTTTATGTGATGCTAATGATATTATTCTATAATTTGAGCAATCTCTTGGGTCACCTTTATTTGGAATTGGTACAAATATGGATTTTTTTCCCATCAGTTGACTGACCAAGTAGTTATCTTCCAAATTTTTTAGCACAGAGGAATAAGTGGTTCCCCTGCTTCATCAGCTGGTTGAAACATGTCGATCAGTATTCCATCAATTCCTGCAGACTTGGTTTTGGTGAATGATCTCAGTGCAGTTCGAACACCTTCTTTCAGTCCCACTGATTCTTGCGTATATGCGATCTCCTGAAATGGTAGAATGTCAACTTATTCTTTTTAGTACAGTGACTCTGTATATTCTTTCCAGTCTCTTTTTATTTATTTTACTTATTTTTTACATTTTCATTGTCACCTAATCCACATATCACATAATTCAATAGTTCAATCATTCAATCATATTCCATCTTCTTTTGATGCTTCCTGTATCATTCAATATTTTGCTTGTAGAAGAATCCTTCAAGGTTCAATTCAATGCTTAAATCTTTTTCTTTAGTTCTACCAGTTTAAGATACACTGAGAATATTCTTTCTTTTTGATACTCTAACTCTTGCCCTTTGCACATTTTGTTATAATAGTTAACTTTGTCTTCCCAAGAGGCCCTCTGAAATTTTCTGCTCAGCTCTTTGACATCATTTCTTCCATTTGCCTCTGCTACTCTTCAATTAAGAGCAAATTTCAGAGTCTCTTCTGACATCTACTTTTTTCTTTATTTCCTGTCTTTTTAACAATAGTGTGCTCTCTTCGTGGGATAGACTCAGGTTCATATCTTAGCTCTCATAGACCTGTTTTAATTTTCTTGAACTTACATATGAGCAATTGATAGTCTGATCCACAGTCAGGCCCTGACTTAGTTTTAGCTGTTGATATTGAACTTTTCCAGTGTCTTCCCACAGATGTAGTCAATTTGATCTCTGTGTTTTCCATCTGGAGAATTACATGTGTGTACAAAGCAGTCACTGTGTGTCTTGTTGCAAAAAAAAGGTATTTGCTATAGACAGGTCCTTGGTCTGGCAAAATCCCATCATGCTATGTCCAGCTTCTTTGTCTCTATCACCAAGACCATATTTTCCAGATATAACCCTTGGTTAGCAAAAAATGGGGTCCTCGAGCATCCTTCAGGGTCTCCGCCCCACCTCGGCTCGGCCCACGCTGTGCACAGACCTGGCCAGTAAGATCATGGCCATCCAGGAGGACAAACTATTCAGGAGAAAAGAATTGTAGAAACAGTCCTCAAAAAAAAAAAAAAGGAGACTATGAAATAGGTGATGTTCCAACAGAGTGGGAAGCTTGGGTTAGAAGAACCAGAAAGATTCCACCTACTATGGAGGAAATCTTGAAGAATGAAAAATACAGAGAAGAAATAAAAATAAAAAGGGAAGAATTTTATAAGGAAAATCTCCTAAGTAAAGAGGAACTCTTGGCTCTCCCTGTTCACACTCAAATCAAAGGGCATGCCTCTGCTCCACACCTCGGGAAGGTAGGGCCCTTGGAGGCCCCACCAGCACGGGACAAGCCTTCCAGCCAGGAGCCTGGATGCCACAGGATAGCAAGAGCCAGAAAAAGTGAAGAGTTATGGTAAATCATTTCCTGTACATGGATGTATTTTAACAAATAAACCACAGAGAAAGTTATTTTGTGTTTTCAGAATGTATAATGGTTCTCTACTAGCTCAATTAAGTTTTTTAATGTGTCTAACAAATGTGAGATGGCAAAATATAAAGACCTAAAATCATTGTCATTTAAGAAAAATACCATATTTTCCAACTACTGTTCCTTCTTTGTTTCCAACTTTTGCATTCCAATCTTCAATAATTATCAATGCATCTTGATTACATGTTAGATCAATTTCTGATGGAAAATATTGGTAAAATTGTTTGATTTTTTCAACATTAGCATTAGTAGTTGGTGCACAAATTTGAATAATAGTTGCATTGATTAGATTTCCTTGAATGGGGATAGATATAATCCTATCACAAATAGGATTGTACTTCAAGATAGATCTTGAAATATCTTTTAAAAAAAAGATAATGTACTGGGAGTTCTTATTGCTCTTATAACAATCCATACAACAATTAAATCAAACATATGTTGCCATCATTATTTTATAAACATTTCCTTTCTATTTGAGCCCTTGGTATCAGTTCCTTTTTTATCCCTCCCTCCCCTCTCCCACCTTGTGACTCCTTAATGAATTATAAATTATTATTATTTTCATATCTTACACCAACCGCTGTCTCCCTTCCCCCATGGTTTCTGTTGTTCATCCCCCTGGAGGGGTGGTAGTGGTTATGTGTCCATGGTTGGGATCAGTTTCCCCTTTCTCCCCTCCTGTCCCCACCTTCCCCCTCCCCTCCTGGTATTGCTACTCCCATTTCTGTTACTGAGGAGCTTATCTGACCTGGATTCCATGTGTCCTGCACTCTTATCTGTACCTATGCACATGCTGCGATCTAGCCCGCAGTGAAAGGCAGGACTGGATAGTGATAGTGCTAGTGAGGAAGCCTCAAGGAACCAGACCGTCCTTTTTGATGATGAACGCAGTGTCATTCTTCTTGATTGGGTCGTTCCCAGCAGAGTGCACTCCATGATTTGCTCATTCAAAATGGCCAAGAGCAGTCCACTTCAGCACATTGGTGCCTAAGGTATCGATCTCTTTGGGTTCCATTTCATTTTTGGCAACTTCCAATTTTCCTTCATTCATACTTCATACATTCTGATTATTAGATTTTTCCAGCTGCTGCATTTCTTCTTGCTTTGGGTCATGCCCCACCAGCAAATGTAGGTCCCAAAGGCTTTACCCCCACAGGCCTTACTCTGTTCACGCCATTATTGCTGACTCTACTCTAAGAAGGCAGTCCTTCCCCAGGCATAGTTTGAGTGGCCCTGACTTGCAGGGCTCGTCTTCTGGCACCATCTCTGACAACGTTCTGCTTCTGCTCATTAGTGTCACTTTGGCTGCTAGTATTTGAAATATCAGTGACATCGCTTCCAGCAACACAGTAAAACACACAAGCCACCACAGTGTGACCAATGGACAGACAAGGGGTGGCAATCCTGTACAGGGATGTCTAAAGAAGAGAAAACCATTATTGGCCATTCTGTGTGAAGCCAAGCAGATATGGCCAGCTTATAATGGATAATGTCCCAATGGTCAAACAGGAGGCCCGGGGGACATTGTGGTTAAGCCTGGGGCTGAGATCCACAAGTTCAGCGGTTCTACTCCATTCTACTCCTGTGTAGAGTCCCAGTCTTGGAAACACACAGGGGCAGGTCTACCCTGTCCTATATGGTCGCTATGAGTTGGCACAGACTCAATGGCAGTGTGACCACGTGCTAGTGCCCACATTCCCCATGTAAATCCCTGCTGTGCCACTCAGTAGAGGGCAAGTTAGTCCAGTAGCTTTCATCGTATTATCAAAATGGGGTGACAATCGCATCTACCTCAGAGGGTGGCTGTGGAGATTAAACACGAGCCACCAGACATGATGTCTGGTGCATAGCAAAGACGCAATATAAATTATAATGAAAATTGTATAAATATAATAAGTGAATAAATATAATAAATGATAGCAATATACAGAAACCACACTATGTAATCAAAAATGTGATTTTATGACTGCAGATGTTTTATTATCTGCTACTGCTGAACTTAAGTGTCCTCTTTGAGTACTTTAGAGGGAAAAGTAATAAAATAGAGAACACCGAAAAGTTCTCCTGCCCTCACTGTGTTCGGGAGGGTTCTACACGGTGAGCATTATATGAAGTGATCCCCAACATGGCCACATGGGACAGTCACCTGGAGGGCTTCCAAAAATATACGAGCACCCCAAATGCTGCAAGGTCAGTATCGGACCTATCTATGGCACAGCGTCCCTGGATAATGAAAATGCCCAGTGTGCTCGGCAGCTAACCAGAGTGGGAGGCTTGAATTCAGTGAAAGACGCTCAGAAGAAAAGCCTAGCAATCTGCCTTCCAAAGTCCAGCCACAGAAAGTTCTGTGGAGCACGCACTCATGCAGGGCCACCCTGAGTCAGAGTCCACGTCAATGCCATCAACAATGGAGTTCTCAGTATCCTCATCCCTTGGGTTCTTGGAGCCCTGGTAGCCTCGTGGGTACACATGGGTCTGCTAACTGCAAGGTCAGCAGTTTTGCCACCACCAGCCACTCTGCGGGAGAAAGAAAGGGCTTCCTGCTTCTGTAAAGAGGTACCATCTGGGAAAATCACAGAGGCAGTTCTACCCCGGCCTAGAGGGTCGCTGTGAGTCGGCATCAACTCCATGGCAGTGAGTTTGGTTTTGTTCCCTAGGCTTCTGGCCCCTGGGGTTAGTCATCGCTTCCAAGAACTGGGTGACAGACTTGAGACTGACACCCAGCTTGGACTGCCTTCGAAGCCCAGCCTCTTCTAAACCACTTGACTTTACTGTTTCTCTGCCCTGGGTGATTAATTGTAGGCGAGGCTGGAGAGGAGGGCAAGTCAAGGCTGTATATCCCCAGTAAAATGGTGGGGACCTGCAGCGTCCACTTTGCCTGGGAGCGTGGACATAAGGCAATATCTCAGATCCAACCTGAGATATAAGAACACCCAGATGCATGAACCCAGTTGAGAAAGGGGTGGGAAGTTACCCATGGGTGTGACTCTGAGGACACACAGGAAGGCGGGAAGTGAGGAGGCTGGCCTGAACTGGCCACTACACACAAGGGGACCAGCTCAGGAACTCGCTTCTTCCTCCAAAGACCCTGAGGCCTACCTACCGGCCCACCCTAGTGAGAGCCCAGCCGGGCTAGTCACACCTGGCTCTGCCATGTTTGAGGTCCAGGCTGTGTACCTTGCCTGCTGTGTCCCCTCAGCTGCATGTGGCATACCTGGTAGGCATGACCATGCAGAGTAAGGGCTCGGCCTCCCTGTGCATCACCTGGAAGTCCCCAGGGTCAGCTCAGCAGCTGGTTCACTGACCAGGGCCATGAGGCTGGGCCAGCACAGCGTCTCCTAGACCTTGTCCAGCTCCCCCCAGCAGCAGTGGGCCACCCCCCACCCACCCGTGGGCCATCCCTCACCCACCCCACCTCCCCACATCCTTCCTGCCTGCAATACCTACAGTACTTCATAATAACCAATGGTGTTACTTTGCGACTCACATCAAAACATTATGATGATTACTACTATGTTATGCTTAGTGTATCTACAAGTCTTGTTTTAATGCTTTTGATGAGTAAAACCCACCCACAGCCATAGAGTGGATGCTGACTTATAGTGACCTTATGTAGGATTTCTCAGGCTGTAAACTTTTATAGGAGCAGGATCACCTCATTTTACTCTCTGAGAGTAACTGGCAGGTTTGAACTGCTGACCTTTCAGTTAGCAGTGCAATGCTTACCCAACTTTGCCACCAAGGCTCCTTGTTATGCATAGAAGGACACACTACATGCTATTTACTAAGACAACCATTTGACTAGCTATGGTGCAGCTGGCAGCTCAGCATGATAATGGCCCACAGCATCCAGGAACTGGGGTGATTTAGATATTGGAGTCTAGACTACCTCTCTGGGCTTGGTAGACAAGAGAGAGGATTAAACAGATGAGGGGAGTTCAGGGTGGGAAGGGATATCACCTCACATCCTCCCTCTTACAGCTATTCCACTGGCACCAAAATAATGTCATCGGTGCATTTCTTGGCTGTTCTATCTATCATCTATCTATCTATCTATCTATCTATCTATCTATCTATCTATCTATCGTCTATCATCATCTATCATCATCTATCTAGATTTTAAGCTTTCCGTGGTCAGAAACAAGCCTTTGTCCTTATCTTCCTATGAGAGTGCCCAGGTTAGAATAAACCCTAAACAGATGTTCATGGGTGGTAAATTGAAAGGATGACGGTGGTGGCCCAGGGCTGCCCGTGGAGACTCAATCACAGAGAGGTTTCTGTTTGTCTGCTTTGTTGGGTAACAACATGCTGGCTCCCAACTAAGGCCTAGAAAGTCCAATTGTCCCAAGGTCATTAAGATCCAGCTCTTTAGAAACCAGGGCATTTATCGCCTAGAGAAAGAAAACTCTTGACCTTGAGTGGGTCAACTGTAAGTACAGAGATACTGGGGTAGCAGAGTGGTTATGGGTACAGGACTCAACTGGAGACAGGTTCAAATCCTGACTCCACCATACATCAGCTGTGAGTGTTGACTAGCTCAGAGGACTTGGGCCAGTTATAGAAACTCTCTGTGCTCTGTTCTCCCCTTCTGTGAAATAGGGACAAGAATAGGTCTACATCGCCACTTTCCTATCAGCCTTAAATAAGTCCATGCTACAACACACTCGACAGAAGCTGGTCCAGAGTCGGCATTCCAGGGATGTGAGTTGTGATTGGGGTTATTTTCTTCTTTGTAGCCACCGCAGCCCTCATGACCCAACGCAGAGCGGCAGCCTGGGTTACCTCTCCCACCTGCCTTCATAGCCCATCACATAGGTGCGCTGCCTTGGGCTTACCATGGCACGAATCCCCATTTTCCCAGAGTATTAGGAACCCCGCTTCCTGGTCTTCTAATGATACTCTCTTTGATACTTAAAACAAAACAAAATAAAAAAAAGTTCACACCTAAAATATAAATACCCTGTTCCTTCCTGACCAGGACAGCTAGCTCCTGTTCTAATGTGAGTCTAACATGCTCTCCTCTCCTCGCTTGAGATCAGAGAGGGAAGAAGGCATGGGACATCTGCTAGAAGTGGTGGCTGTTAGAGCTGGGGTAGCTTGATTTGAAGAGGAGCATGGGGGAGGGGGACGAGGAGGAGGAGGAGAATGGAGGAGGGGGGATATTCAGAAGAGATTACACTTTGGCTTTAAAACAGGACAGAGAACGACTCAGAGACACGATGCAATCCGCTCTTTAACTAATCTCATGGTATACTCACATTGGCTATGTCGTATGCAAACGAGAGCTTGAATATCCAGTCCAGTTCAATATCTGAGTTTCCCAACACTTCCTGGAAAATAGTTATTAAACGTGTCACCAGTGACTCACCCCGAAGGCCAGCGGGCTTCAAACCCGGAGTGGACTTGCCTCTAATGCATCCGTGATTTGGGCCAGAACTCCCCAGTGGAGGCCGAGTGTTCCCTCGGCATTGAGAACGAGTACAGCCTTGAGTTTTACAAACACTTACCGGTTCCTGGCCTGAAGCTGATCGTCTCCTATCATGTATCTGGATAGGATGGGCCTTAGAACCATCTTTGAAGATGTTTGGTAACAAGGACTTCTTAGAAGGTGCCGCCAAGCTCAGACGGCTTCCACCCAGAACAAAGGAAACCATACTCCAGGCAACACTGCTGCTACGCTGATCCCAGGCAGTCCAGCGTGATCATTCAGGTCCCACAATTAGCCCTGGAAGGCCCTATCCTTGGACCAACTGGGAAAAGCACTGACAAGGCTCCTCATTGGTCGATGCCAATCAAATGGGCGGGAAGAGTTACCGGTTTGCTTACCTTCAGACTTCCTTTTTTGCAATACTGGGTGACAATGCAGAGGTTGGGTGCTTCCGTGCAAATGCCAAAGAGAGGAACAATGTTGTCGTGCCTTAATCTGCACATCTGAAAATCACAATGGCAATAATAGCTCACGTTTACAGAGAAGGCACCCTCCATGCCAGAAAGCCCAGTAAGTGTTTTGTGTCCTTTCTGATTGTTTAATTCTCACGAAGACCTTGTGAGAACTGGTATTCTATGCTATAAGGACTATGATTTCTCCCATTTTGCAATTGGGGAAATGGATGCTCAAAGAGGGAAATTAACTAGAAGAACCTGCAATTTACAATGAACAGAACTGGGATATAAACCCAGGCCAGCAGATAAGCCAGATGGTGATCAAAGTCCAACCACAGGCATCGGTATTAACGAGACCAGGCCACAATGTCAAGGCAAATGCGTGGCCCACGGTCGACCTCAGCGATGAAGCAAGAAGTGACCCATGAACTTCAGGATCTGTAAGGGCCAGGCCCGAGGCAGATGGGAAGTCATCACAAACATAGGGGATTTGGGGTCCACAGGAAGGCCAGGAAATGGTCAGGGAAAAGGAACAAAGTTGGGAAGGATTGCAGGCTTCCAGGACCAAAGATTGGAGATCCTAAACCTGGACTGTCCATTGGGAGGAACAGGGTGAGCGCCAAGTTAAATATCTCCCACCCTTAATCCTTTGGGTATGGGAGCCATGCCTCACGAGGGGGAGCAGAAAGGGGCAAGTCAGGAGCACAGTGCAATGTGATTGGCCTTCTCCCCTGCGGTGGGGCCTTACCAGCCGGATTTCCTGTCGGACCGATGACTTCCTAATCCAGGCTTCAGCTTGCTCATCAACATAGTGAATGGCCACATGGTTTCCCTGGAACAAGGGACAAAGCACAGGGTCCTTCACCCAGGATGCTCTTGAAAGGGCTCGGAAGGGGAGCAGGAAGACTGGTGAGAAGTCCCTTTGTGAGTTCCCATCAGCTCTTCACTGCCCAAGCCAGCCCAGGCCCTATGTGATCCACCGCCATCCAGTCCACGTGACACCCAGCGGCTCCCTGGGTGTCAGAATAGAACTACGCTTAGTGGAATTTTCAGTGGCTGGGTTTTTTGTTCATTTTGTTTTTTTAAATCATTTTACTGGGGGCTCATATAACTCTTATCACCCACCATCCATCCATCCATTGTGTCAAGCACATTTGTACATTTGTTGCCATCATCATTCTCAAAACATTTGCTTTCGACTTGAGCAGTGGCTGAGTTTTTAAGAAGCAGGGCAGCAGGCAGTTCTTCCTAGACTCCTCTGGGGGCACTCAACCCTTCAGCCTTTGAATTAGCAGCTGAGCCCGTTAATGCTTGCACTACCTAGGTGATAAATACAAAGGACATTCTGTACCAGGAAATCATAGCCCTGTCACATGGGTAGGATGATCCCATTTCCAGATGGGGTCCTGGAGACGAGATAACTAGTCTACGTCACACCTGTGTAGGGAGCAAACAGTAACCAGGATGTGAGCATCTGCCTCTTAAAGACTGATGTCCTGCGTGGTGCAAATGGTTAAAGTGCTCCGCCACCAGGCAGAAGAGTGTTGATTTGAGCCCGCCCAGAGGTACCTCACAAGAAGAGTCTGGCAATCAATTTCTGGACGAGCAGACACTGAAAACCCTCTGGGGTACATGAGGGATCACGAGTCAGAGGTGACACGATAGCTCTCTTAGTTCCAAGGCTGTATAGAAAAATGAGTGTCAACAGGCTCTTTGGCCACGGGAATGTAACCCATCCGACCACACTTGTTCACTACGCTTCCTTCTATCACGCGATAATGTTCATCTTCATACTGTGAAGTGCATTCAGGGCCCAAGTGGAAGCCTAAAGTCAGATGCCTGGGTTCAGCTTCCAGCTCTACTGTTTACCTGCATAACCCAGAGCAGGTGATGTAACTCCACCAAGCCTCCACATCCTCACCTGCCAAATGGGGTGAAAAAGAACAGCCATCCCAATGAAAGGAGCTTGGTGGCACCGTGGTTAAGCACTCCGCTGCTCACTAAAATTCAGTGTGAAAATCCACCAACTGCTCCACTGGGGAGAGATGGGGCAGCCTCCTTCCATAAAGACCCACAGCCTGGGAAATACGACGGATAGTTCAACTCTGTCCTTTAGGGTAACTGTGAGGTGAAATTGATGGGGAAGCGACAGGTTTGCTTTTGGCTTTTGATGTCACAAAGGATGGGTGGGAGGACAAACTGAGCCAGGATACGAGCCCTGTTGACGGGATGCCTGGCACATATCAGGTTTTCAGTAAATGGCATCCATGTCATCACCCATGAGTCTGCTTTTAGAGACTCACATAATCACCACCCAGACATACAATAACATGCAAAGAGCTCGGGAGAAGAGACGAAAATCTATACTCAAGCTCAGGTGAGCCTGAGTACAAGTTAACTCATCATCAACTAACCCAAGATCTGCCACTTGGAAATATGGGATTCATGGCAGAGGTGTGAAACCGTAATGGGGGTCCCAAGGTGGAAGGGGTCCCTGTGAGATGAAGGAAAGGCTTCATGGTAGATGGCCCTTAAGCTGAATCTTGAAGGGTAGGAAGGTTCCAGATGGGTGGAATAGAGGGGGACAGTTGTGACACTGTTAGCGAATGCAATACACACGCCAAAGTCGGCAGGAGCAATTGGAAGAGCATTGGCTTTGAAAGGGGCTAAGTGGTAGAGAGCCTGGAGTCCTTGGGTAAAGAGTTTGTGTGTGTGTTGGGGGGTGGGGGTGGGGGTTACATTGAATATAGTAGGTATACTGTTTTCTTTTTCTAAATGGTTATTGACCACAACACACACTATTGTCTAAATGGTGGCTCTGTGGTATTGGGTAATATCTCAGGAGATTTTTTTTTAAGCTTGGAAACTCAAGTAACTAAACCAAAAAGAATTAAGATCCGTTTACCTAAGGGGTGTCAATGATTTGGCTCTAATCTTTGCTAAACCCAATTTAGAGCCACGAGCAAATCTTCCCTTGCTTGGGGCTTTCAGCTCCTTCCCCCCAGGACCTCAATTTAAAAAATAAATGCAGGTTTGGGTTTTTTTTTTTCCTTTACCTAATTTCTCCCCAGGGGACTGGAACTTCTGAAGGCTGTCTATGCACAGGTAACTCTAGTGATGTGGGGTATGGGAGGAAGGGTGACCTGAGAGGATTTATGCTTCAGGAATCAGCAGTTATCCCTGCTTACACTTCAGGAGTCTCAGTACTGTTTTAGGGCACAAAAGAGACCCCGAATTTCACTTGTAATATAAAGAGAACATGCATTAAGTCTTAAACAGGACAGAAACAAGACGAGGACAAGGGATGCCAGTAGCAGGAGGTCATAAAGGCTTCCAAGGATTCAAAGCCACCTCACCATTTAAATAGGATATGAATAATAAAGGAAATTGCTGTAAATTCAGGAGCCCTGGTAGTAGGTTACAGGGCAGGCTGCTAACCACAGAGTCGCCAGTTTGAAACCACCAGCTGCTCCTCAGGAGAAAGATAAGGCGTTCTACTCCCCTAAAGAGTGACAGTCTAAGAAATGGCATGAGTGAGTCACAAAATCATGATTGATGGCAGATGAACATATCACAGTTATAGATGAGACTATTGAAGCAGAAACAAAACATGTTAGAGACATGTACATTATGTTAAAAGGACATATAAAGCTGATCCAGGACCTTCTAAGCAAGGCAGTCAAGGCATGACTCATAGGGCGTAACTCATGACTATTGACCCCCAGTGAGGCCATGTCCATTAAGGACACATCCAGGCAAGTCCTTAAGGAAGACTGTCTCTTCCCTGGGCTGGTTAGGAAGAGTGATGGTCATTCACTTCCTGATACACTCTGCCCAAAGGTAAGACTGCTCATGCCCTTGGTCAATGATCAGAAACAATTCTGGGGAGGCTTAAAATTCACCCGGGACTCTTCAGATGGATTTTGGGCTTTCACTGTCATACATAGCCTTCTGCAAAATGGGTGCTCAGAAGTTAAGCCTAATTTCCTCTCTACCCATTGTTTCTCAATGATCCATCGGTGCTACAGTACCAAAGATGAACTAATCCGAGTTCAGGGTCTGTGCTGTATGCTGGAGTACCACTAGCCACATGAGCTATTTTCAATGAAATGCTCTACCATTTACCATTGTGTTCCTCAGCCACACTGAGTAAGTGCTGAAGGGCAGTCAGGGATTGGTAGTTGTTGCTAACTCATAGTGGCCTAGTGGACTGAGTAGAACTGCTCCCTAGGACTTCCTAGACTGTGATCTTAATAGCAGCAGATGGCGGGTCATTCTGCAGACCACTGGGCAGGTTCGAACCGCCAACACTTTGATTAGCAGCTAAGTGCTTTGCTGAGACCCCACCAGGGATCCTTGACTAGTGGCTTCTGGCTACCTTGTTGGTCAGTGCTGTTTGGAACATTGCCATCACCCAAACTTACTGCCATCGAGTCCACTCCAACTCATAGGGACCCTGTAGGATGGGAAAGAACTGCCTGGTGGGTTTCCAAGACGTAGCTCTTTTTTTTTTTTTGACGTAGCTCTTTATGGGAGTAGAAAGTCCCATCTGCCTCCTTCCATTACCCAGGAGGAGGGGTCGATCGATTAGAACTGAGCCACTGGGTCTAGAAGCCTTGCTACTCAAAACAGTATCATACCCAGCAGAGGAGTCACTGGGGAGTTTCTCAGAATGAAGACTCTCAGGCTCCACCCCAGACCTAGTAGATCAGAACCTGCATTTCAACAAGAACCCCAGGTGATCTGTATGTACATTAAAGTTGCAGCAGCCCTCATGTGGAGTCACAGGGCTATCTTGGCATTTGCCTGGAGAAATCCAACCCAAGTAAACCTCAATTGTGGAGCAACTCAGTCTGTGGGACAACATGGAATGATCCCATAGAGTTTATAAGGCTATACACCTCCATAGAAATGAACTACCCCACCTTTCTACCTCAGAGTAGCTAGTGGGTTAGCAGTCAAGGGCCCAACCATTCTACCAAGAATGCCCCCTATCCACAAACCCCTAGCAATGGTAGTTACAACTTGATGAAATTAGGAGTGAAGGATGGAATCTAGCCTACTCTAGTTAATCAGGTCACAGCCCCATGACTCCTTGTGGGCGTGGCCTTCTAGGGAGGATTCTGAGAACTTCCTCTCTTCCTCCCTGGAGGCAGGATGCACTCTGTCTGCTTCACATTCCTGTTGACAAGCCACCTGGAGCCACGCTGATGGTAGCCTGAGCCCTGCAGATGCTTCCACTGCCACTGGATCCACAAGACTTCACTCACCAGCCTATGATCTTCCTACTTGAGTCTAAAGAGGACTTTATGGATGAGAATCGAACATATGGGCTAATATCGGACTTATGGACTTGAACTGGGCTGAGCTGGGATGTTTTCTCAACGTACAACTGCTCTGTGATGCAAAGCTCTCTCTTACACACATATGAGTGTCTCTGGGTTTGCTTCTCTTGTCAACCCAGACTAACACACTGGCCCACTGAATGCACATGCAGGGAGCAGGACGGAGACACGCTGTAAGCCCACATGCAGTTCTCTTGCCATTAGACATACCTGATAAAGTCCTAGGGGTGCGTAAAAGAGCTCTTCCCCTTGCTGGCTCTTGACAAAGGAGCTGAGGTCCCCAGAAATCACACTTGACGCGCTCCCGAGGTTCCCTCGTGACACGGGTGTGCCCCTCTGGGATGACTGTAAAACAGGGCACAAGGCGTGACCGGACTGTACGGTTTGTAGAGCAGCCAAGGTCATGCAGAACTTGAACACTGGTTTCTCTGATCCTGAGGTTCAAGTCCTTAACTGCTGTATACATCCATCATTCTTGGTGTCTGCACCTCTGTGGGTGGTAGCGTGTCATGGTGATGATTCAAGTCCCAGTTCCGCCACTTGGGCCAGAATCATTTCCCCAAAGGAATGCCTAACCATACTGTTGCGGCTGCCTGTCACTGTGTAGGTTCTGACTCCCGATAACCCTACAGGACGGAGTAGAACCGCCCCACCGGTATCCCTAGGCTATCATCTCTACAGGAGCTTCTCACCAGATCTTTTCTCCTCTGGAGGCTCTGAGTGGATCTGAACCAAGCACTTGATGACAACTACAGTATACCTTTAGCGCAGAGGAACTGCATTTTTCAAAGAGAATCTCGGGCGAGACCTTAATAGATACCAGACAGGGGAAAGCAGAGTTGCTTTGGTGGGTGAGGGAAGAGGGAAGCTCAGAAACCTCTGGGCCCAGCATCCTCCCCACTTCCAGCCCCCAAAGATCATTCAATCCAACACCAGCCCACAAGTAGCAGACTCTCAGAAATAATCGTAAAATGGTTTACCAATAAATCACAGTCTCCAGGGTTTAGCACCTGGAAGCCCATCCTGATTTGGTACCTACCAAGCTTCTGGTTCCATCTCCAGTCCCCAAGCCCTCCCATACCCTGGGTTACCTCTCTCTCTTTTACATCCAGCAAATCCGCTCTTCCCCAAAGCCACGTCTTCCCTGAAGCTTTCCTGTGCTGGAGACATGTAGTCACTCTCCCTGTAATCATTCTCTCTTTGCAAATCCTCCCATCTCCTTCATGGTTGTATCTCCACACATGGCACTTGGTCTACAGGAGATGTTCAACAAGTGTTTGGGGAGCAACTGAACATCATGTCCAAGTCATCCATGGATGAAAGGACTGCCTTGGTTTTGAAAATAACTGTTCCCCAGGGGAGACTTTAATATTTTAGCAGGTGTCTGGGTTCTTTTGTCCAAATTAGAGATGATCCAGTCATGACTCTGTACCAAGACATTTGGCAAGTGAGTGGCACACCTGGGACCAGAACCCTGGTATCATGACTCCGTGGGGTGTGGTGGCTTCTTTGTCTTACCCTTGAATGGTGATGTATTATCACATTTGTCAACCTTCCCATACTAAAAACACTTTGCAGAAGGCTTATCCCACAGCCATGAGAATTCCAAGACGAAATTGGATACGTACTGTGTTAACTACAACTCTTTTTAACTACAAATCTTTAAAGAAAATGTCAAGGATAATAAAGAGATTTCAATGCCTTTGATATGTGCAATGTCAAAATGTACCTGCGACTTCAAAACAACAGGAGATTCTGTTAGCTGCAAACTAGAGTTTGGTTGATCATTTTGCTTCTCGTTCAAAACCGCTGCCAGTCACAGTACCCTTCCTCCACTTTGTAGGGCAATGTCCGTTCACCAAGGGGCCCTGGCTGAGAAGTGATGGCGCACACGGTTCTAACTAGAACCAAGGAACCCACTTCACAGGGACAGGCCATTCAGTCATTGCTGCTGTCCTCGTTAGCTGCTGTTCAGCCAGCTCCCCCCGTCCCTCCCTGAATCATGGGGACCACATGCACAGAGGAATGAATCACTGCCCAGTCCTGAGTCAGCCTCATACTACTGGGCACTCTCGGGTTTCCACCGGCTGATTTTTTAGAACGAAATCACCCGGCCTCTCTTCCAAGTCTATCTTAACTTGCCAGTTCCCTGAAACCTGCTCAGCATCAGATGGTCTTGCAAGCCCCCACTAACAGACAGGTGGGGGGCTATGCCTGCAGTGTACAGGCCAAGGATCAAACTTGGGTCTTCTGCATGAACAAGGAAGATTCTGTGAACCACCACCTATCCTCGTGAAGTGCTTGTTTTATAAATGAGTCAGTCTCCTACTCCCCTAAGCTCCTAGACAAAGTCCCGCCCAACACTCTCCAGCAGAGAGGGAGGAAGTGACATGTGGCCTCACCTTGTTCTGGGGCAGCAGGGTGATGTCATCGTAATTGATCTGCCACCAGATGTCTTCATGCTGCCTCTGCCCTCTTCCCCTCCGCAGCCTTAAAATCAGACCTGTGTGAAGGAAGGGGGTGCAGAGTGGGGACCCAAAGCCCATCTGTAGGCCACTGGACCTCCCCTTACGGAAGGGTCTCAGGGAGGAGACAAGCCAGTCAGGGTGCAGTGTTGCAACGATGAAACATACAACTTTCCTCTAGTTCCTAAATGCTTCCTCCCCCCCACTGTCATGATCCCAATTCCACCTTACAAATCTGGCTCGACCAGAGGATGTTCACTGGTACAGATAGGAACTGGAAACACAGGGAATCCAGGACGGATGATCCCTTCAGGACCAGTGGTGAGAGCTGCGATACCGGGAGGGTGGAGGAGAGAAGGTGAGGTAGAAAGAGGGAACTGATTACAAGGATCTACATATAACCCCCTCCCTGAGGGGACTGACAACAGAAACGTGGGTGAAAGGAAATGTCGGACAGTATAAGACATGAAAAAATAATAATAATTTATAAATTATCAAGGGTTCATGGGGGGGACAGGAAGGGAGGGGGAAGATGAGCCGATATCAAGGACTCAAGTAGAAAGACAATGTTTTGAGAATGATGATGGCAACAAATGTACAAATGTGTTTGACACAATGGATGGATGTATGGATTGTGATAAGAGTTGTACAAGCCCCCAATAAAATGATTAAAAAAAATCAGACTTGTGACCCAAAACAACCATAATGATACAAATGAGTGGGGTCTGAGTGTAGACCCAAATCCCATCTGTAGACAATTCAACATCCCTTCCCACAAGGGTCACAAGGAAGGGATGAGTCAATGCAGTGTAGCACCAACTACACACAACATTCCTCTAGTGCTTTAATGCTTCACACACATACAGATGCAAATCATGACCCCAGTTCTACCTTATAAATCCAGCTAGACTGGAGCATGTACACTGGTACAGATAAGAGCTCTCAGCACAGAGAATTCAGGACAGATAAGCCCCTCAGTAATGGGAATGGGAGTATCGATACCAGAAGGTAGGGGGATGGTAAGGGGAGGAGGGGAGAAACGGGGAACCAATCATATTGATGGATGTATAACACCCCGACACACAGTCAGGAGGGATGAACAACAGAAATGTGGGTGAAGGGAGACAGCAGACAGTGTTAAATGTGAAAACAATAACACTTTATCATTTATCAAGGATTCACAAGGGTGGAAGGGGGACAAGGGAGGGAAAAAGAGGACCTGATACCAAGGGCTCAAGTAGAAAGAAAACGTTTTGAAAATGATGATGACAACCTATGTATAAATGTGTCTGATACAATTGATGTATGCATTGTTGTAAGAACTGCAAGAGCCCCCAATAAAGTGATCTTAATAAAATTTAAAAAAAGAAAATGATGATGGCAACAGTGTGCGTATACAATTGATGTATGGATTGTTATAAGAGCTGTAAGAGTCCCCAATAAAACAATTTATAAAAAAAGAAAAATCAGACCTGTGCCGGCAGCTCCCAAGACAACCGTCAGGACCGTGAGCTTGAGAATCATAGCACTCACATCTGGCAGGTACAGACAGACAGTTACTCAGGTCAGCCTGACCGCAGAAAGAAGGACATACTGGACTTGGCCCCACCAACCAGAGGCCTCCTAAGCTGCCCAGTCGTGGGGCTGGGTGAGGGGCCCTGAGCCCACCAGATGCCATTCACTCCAGGAGCCCCACCTGACTACCCCTTGACCCCCATGGCCTCTGAAGTCCCCTCCCACATGTATAGAAACCTCGATTGTAGAGATAATGTTGATGACGTCTGTGATCAGCCGCCTACTACGTGAGCTCCTAGGAGTCAGCCTCTAGGCGTGATCCATCTCACACCCCTACCGAGGCTTTCGGCTTCCCTAGACATGAAGTTCCTCAGCGGGTTTCCCTAGAGCAGTGACTCTCAAGAGATGGGGGTGGGTGGGTTTTTGTTCCATCCTAGGGGACTTTTGATGACATCATTGGGAGATCTTTGGGGGGTTTACAACTAGACAGGTGCTACTGTCATGTAGTGGGTGCTGACCAACCTCCTTCAATGCACAAGGCAGCCCCTACACACATAACAAAGAATTATCCAGCCCCAAACATCACTACACTGCGCTTGAACAATCCTGCCACGGCCTCCAAGTGGCCACCCACCCGCTGCCATCGAGTTGATTCTGGGGGTGCCCCGATATGTGGTTTCTGAGGCTACACATCATGACGGAACTCCCCAGCCGCTCTATCCTTCTGTGGAATCACGTGGTGGGTTTGCTGCCTGCTGCTTAGCTTTCCCACGCTGACCCAGCAGCACCAGGGCTCCCGAAGCTGAAGCACTTACCTGTAAAAGCAGGCTCTGTGTCACAAAGCTCATTGTGAAATCCACAGCCAGGTCGGTCTTCAGGAAGGGAGCCACGGGGCCAGGTCATTGTGGAGAAATTCCTTGTGGGCCTTAAGGCAAAATACAAAAGACAGCGCTCACGTGATTTATTCTAGGGGTTGCTGCCTTAGGTTTGGCAAGGGCAATTGAAACACGTGTGTCCTGTGCAAAAAGTAGACTTTGGACCCTTAACCATCTGTTTTTACCATCTCACCCACTCCCCAAAACCTAGCCTTGCCGTCATCTACTTCATGGGAGAGCCATAACGTCTTGTCTCATAATATGCAGTCTCATCGATACCTGATGACTTTCTGATCGCTGTCATAGTGGAGAAAGGGGAGCCAGACGGACCCGTTTCCGGATTTCTGCAGGATGTTGACCAGATAGTCCATGCGCCTCTCTCCCCGGGAGCCCACAGTCACGGGGCCAGTAATGCCTGGAAAGATAAATAGGGCAAGAGGAACCAGTGGCTCAAGATGCCCAGCTGCTACCTTGGACCCACCAAGCCCCACCCCTACCCTCAGGTGGTCATCAGCCACGCGGGAGGACACTGCCACTTGAGGGGCCTCAGACTCTGTCCAACTACTCGCTGCCCTTCGATATAAAGCAAACCCACCGCAGAGTCAGTTCCAATTCACTGTGACCCTGTGTAAATCTTCACACAAGCAGACCACCTCACCTTTCCCCTTCAGTGAGGCTGGTAGGTTTGAACCACTGGCCCTGCGGTGACAATTATGGGAAAACCTAGACTTTATGTGGTAAAAAGACAAGACACCCTGATGTGCAAACTGTTCAATGCTCATCTACCAACCGAAAGGTGGGTGGTTTGGATCCACCCAGAAGCTCCTCAGGAGAAAGTTGGTCGGTCGGCTGCCATAGAAATGACAACCCGGAGAATCTCACGGGGTCATTCCACTGGGCCGCACGTGTTGCTATGCAATTGGACAGCGCTCGGCAACGGCGTGGCTAACTGTGGCCTCGTGTGCGTCAGCAGAGTGGAACGGTGTTCCAGAGAGTTTCCAAAGGTGGATCTTTCCGAAGGAGGTCACCAGGCCTTTCTTCCCAGGGGCCTCTGGGTGGATTTGAACTGCCAGCCTTTCCATTAGCAGCCATGTTAATCATTGGCACCCCCCCCCCCAGACGCCTGTCTCTGGGGTAGGAGGCGTTGCCAATGTCTTTCTACATGTGAGAACTCGTGTGCCCCAAAGGGCTGGCACAGTTGATCAAGTCCCACGGTGAGGTCACAATAACCCACTTCTAAATCTCCACTTGCCGAACAAGCCAATAAGAAGGGGGCGGATGGACGTCTTCCGAGGTTGCTGTGCCAGGCGTCCCAACAGGGACAGAGTGGTGGAAAGATCAGCTCTCACCGGCTTGAGTTGTATTCTTGATGCATTCAATCTGAAAGGGGCTGTGGGGAGAGACTTCCCAGAGGGACACGGTGCCCCAGGGGCAGGCCCACCTGGCCCAGGCAGCCCTTGAGTCAGAGAAGATCGAGTCTACCATGACAGCTGGAAGGGGTAACCTTTCAGGAAAGCCAGGACCTCCACAAGAAAGATGACATCTGTACCTCAGGGGCAGGCAGCTCACACACCCACCACCTCAAAGCACAGTGGGCCACGACAGCAGGCCCCTGCTCCCTCCAGCAGCCACCTACCCTGCAGCGCAGTGCGATTGGGTCCCTGCAGAGTGCGAACCAGCTGGCGCCCATCCCGGAAATCTCTCCCGGCTTCTTTCATTTCCCACACGGCCTGAGCATAGAGCAGGGCCGCGTCGTGAAGGTAGGCAGAGTAAGGGCTCACCTTGAACAGGGAAAGCAAGATGTGAGCTTTCCGAAGGCCCACGTCCACCAAGTCATGGTCAGCCCTGGGTCTGGCGGAATCTCTTGCTCAACGCCTATTCTTCCTGCCAACAAGGAGGAGAGCGGTGCTGTGGACCAGGGCCAGTGGGGGTGTGTGGGGGGTCATTGAATGCCGTCAACTTCCCTTTATTCATTAGACCTCCTTTTCCAGTTAGATCATGTGATCCCTTAGGGCAAGAGTACTTCTTGGGGATGGTTCAGGAGATGCTGTGGCTTCACTGAGAGAATGTAGGTGTTGGGTCCTGGCTAACTGGATTCTAACCCTGACCCTGCCACTATCTGACACTGAGACCCCCATAAGCTCTGAATCTCAGCTCCCTTGAGTATAAAATGGGGATGAAACATCTGTCATAGTGATTCTCCAGGAAGCAGGATGAAACACACTAGACACAATACCGATGGTGATGCCTGGCACATTCACACCACATGCCCTGGCATCGGGTTGATCCTGACTCACATGAAGCTACAGGGCAGAGTAGAACTGCGCCATCGGGCTTCTAAGCTTTATGGAAGCAGTTGTCACTTCTTTCTCCTGCAGAGCAGCTGGTGGGTTCAAAACACCGACTTTTGGATTAGCAACTGATCTCCTAAGGAACCACTAAGAAACCAGAGCTCAATGAAGGCTGTAAGTACATACTTTTCCTCTCCCTTATTTGATTAATAAGGAGCTCTGGTGTCATCCTGGGCTGCTAACCACAGAGTCAGCAGTTCAAAACTATCAGCTACTCCTCAGGAGAAAGATGAGGCTGTAAAGAGCTACAGTCTAAGAACCCCACAGGGGCAGTTCTACCCTGTCCAATCGGGTCCCTGTGAGTCACATTTGACTCAACATCAGTGGGTTTGGGTTTTTTATTTGTTTAGTGGGATACCTGGTGACATAGTGGGTTATACTTTGTACTGCTAGCCACAAGTCCAGCAGTTCAAAACCACCAGCCACGCCACAAGAAAAAGACAAAGGCTCTCCACTCCTGTAAAGGCTTACAGTCTCAGAAACCCACAGCAGCAGTTCTTCCATGAGTTCCCTATGAGTTGAAATCGACTCTACTGCATGGTGCAATGAGTTTGGCTTCAGGTTGGTTCCCAAAATATAAAAACAACAAACGCACTGCCATCAAGTCAATTCTGACTCACAGAGACCCCATAGGACTGGGTAGAACTGCCCCTGTGAGTTTCCAAGACGATAACTCTTTGTGGGAGCAGAAAGTTCCATCTTTCCCCTATGGAGTAGTTGGTGGTTTCAAACTGCTGACCATGCAGATTGCAGCCCAATGCATAACCACTATGCTACCAGGGCTCCTTGGGGTTTGTTTAGTCAACAAAATAGGAGTGCTTGTTAAGTGCCAGGCATGTTTGTTTTGTTTTGTTTTCTCCACACAGCACCTGGAATAGAGCTAGCAGTAGACAGCTTCTCAAATAGTCAATGACAGTGACAATAGTCTTGTGTATTAGGACCTACATATGGACGCCCCCTCCCACCCTAATTCCTATTCAACCCTCCTGTCACCAGAGGCCCATAGTCCCCTTTGGGCTCAGCTTGGCCTCACACTGGAAGTATCTGAGGTCTGGCTGATAGTCTCTCTGTAAGAAATTCTCTGTGGGAGTCAGGAGCTTGGCCTCATCATCCCACATATTCTTGGCTTACCACTAATTGGTCTTCTCTCTTAGCTACCTGCTCCAACCCACCTCCTTTCCTTGGCCTGTTTGATTCTACATCTCTGTTCTTGTTCTTGGCCCTAACATCTTTCTCAAAACGGAAACTGTCTTGGCTCAAACATCCGCCGTTATTAGATGGTGGAGGCTGATGGGAGGCTGCTGCCATCCATCTTCATTCCCATTCTACTGATGGAGAGACCAAGGTACAGGGAGGCTAAGTAAGTCACTGCAAAATCCCCTGCTTGGCAAATAGAAGAACTAGGATGAAAGGCCAGGTCACTCCCTCAAAATCAATGGCCTTTCATCTAGTAACCTCTGCCCCATCTGGGGTTCAGGAGAGTAGATTTCACAGGGGACGTTGGCGCACTGTTGACTTTGGCTTGTGAAAGAAGGGGAAGCGCCTGTGTGGCTGGAGTGGACGTGTCTGAAGTGGAAGGGGTGAGGGGAGAGGGTGAGCGAGAGGGATAAAATGCAAAAGCCCAATCCAAGGTCTCCTCCTCCGGGGGTGGGGGCTGGAGGGAGGGGGGCTCCGTGTCAGACCTGCTCCTCCGAGGAGATGGAGCTGTTGAAGGGGGGGCTCCTCAGCCTTCGGTAGACTTGTTTCCAGAATCCTTCATCTCCAGGCCCTTTTCCAGAGGTGCTGAAGGTGAGGAGAAGTACTGACTCATAGATGTTTGGGGAGCGTGCGCCCTTCTGATATGTCAGTGCCTCCTTCCAAAAGCTGTCCTAAAGAGGAACAGCACAATTGTAGGAAAACAGAAGGGCACTCGAGTAAGTGCTGAACTGAAACCAGTGCATGCAAATCCTTGGATTTCAACCCCCCTGAAAGACAGTGGTGACCAGCTGACGGAGAAACAGTGGAGAGGCAGGCAAAGAGTAAGTAGGTACAAAATAAAAACTCATCTTGGCCACCAGACAGCCAACAGTTAGAAAGCTCACCTTCTGAGAAGAAACCAACTGCTATGGAGACAGCCAGCGTTTAGCATTGTCAGCTCCTGTTTCCGATGGCCATGTCTGTGTTTCGTTATTATCAGTACCATCTACCTTGCTATTGTAGTGAAAGGGATCCCCCTCCCTGTATGTATGTCCATCAAAACCTGTGAGAGCTGAAACGCAATGGGACTGCCTTGCTTTTCCGGGTTTCTCAAGTTTTCCTCCTTCGACAGAGTGCACCTTTCTATGGTTCTCTGATCGTGGGAAATATTTGGGGAAGACACTATCTTAAAAGAGGGAGATGAGGGGACAAGCGGGGACAGAGATAGGGCAATCCATGGGGAAAGGCTGATCAGTTGTTTAAGTTGTGGGATGCAGAAACAACGTTCCGGTATGAGGTTAACCCAACAATGAGTTCACAAGGAAGAAGAAAACTCCCTCCTCCTCCCCGGGCTCTCTCCTGGCACTGCTTTCAGCGTTTGCAGGTTTTCCTGCGTGCCTCCTCCTTCTTTATCGACTGTCTCTTCAGCTGGCTTTGCGCGTTTGTGACACGAGCAGGAAATTGACTATCCCAGTCTTGAGTGTGAACGACATGCACCTGGCAGGAGTGGACACCAACGTGGGAGGTGAGAGTAGCACTGGCTGTGGGGGTCAAGGGGTGAGGGGTCAAGGGGTGAGGGGTCAGCTTGGCTGGGCCACGAGTCCCTGTGGTGGCAGTTATGTAAGGAGGTGACCTACAGTTGTGTAATGACAACACCCTCCTTTGGGGGCTCTGAGGTGCTCATCTTCCCTTTTCATGTGATGCCAATTTTCACACAACGGCCTGCTCTTTGGAGCCTAACCACATTTGTAAGTGAGGAGCGATGTTCATGAAGGACAGTTGAATTATTCCCTATGTCCCTATAGTTCCTCCTTTCCTACTCTGAGAGCTGTCCATAAAATAGTAGGCATGTACAGAGGTGTGTGTGTGTGTGTGTGTGTGTGTGTGTGTGTGTACATGTGAGGGTGTTTTATGTAACTGGTATGACACTATAATGATGTCCTGCAACTCCATCTCCCTCTTCTTTCTACTTGCTTTATATTGGGGAGACATCTATAGAATGGATTGATGCTACTCTCTTAAAGACAGTATGGAATTCCATTTGATGGGCATTATAGGGTATGTTTTTACTTCTGTTCTTCTCTCTGCCCCCACTGAACAGTTGGAGTTTGATCATGCAGGGTTCGGGAGAAAAGGACACGCACACTGGCAGGGCTTCCTTGCCAACAGCAAGAGCAGGTCCATTTGCTTCTAGTTTCGTCTCCCTGAGAAGCGATGGGAAGAATAAGGGGGTGGACAGCGGAGGCAGGAAGGTACTCGGGAAGTTCTGGCACGGCTTTAGAATCCCAGCTAGTCACCCAAAGAAACCCAGGACCCTGTTGATAATCTGAAAGGCTTGATAAAGAAACGTGGGACATTATTACACATCTTTCTTTACTTCCTTTTGCCTTACTTCAGCTTCTTATGATCACATAAAATAAATTCCCTTTAGAGCTGGAGTATTTGTACAGTGTGTCCCTAACAAGTAGCCTTGTTAGGCTACTCATAGATGGTCTACTCGTGTAGTTTAGGAGCCCTGGCGGCATAGGAGGTTACATGTTAGGCTGCTAACCACAAAGTTAGTAGTTTGAATCCACCAGCAGCTAGGGGAGGCTGGGGAAGAGCAGGCTTTCCATTCCCATAAATATTGATGGCCTTGGAAAACCCATTTCTACTCTCTTATACAGACCCAGTGAGTCAGAATCCACTCATGTCAGCGGAACTAGGGTAGATGGTTCCTTCAAGGGATGGTTACTTGCACAGACACTGAAGACAGCCCACCTAAGTTGGAATATTAGCTCTCCCTATATTGGTTGGGTGGAGCCTTGGTAGCATAGTGATTATATGTTGAGCTGCAAACTCAAAGGTCAGCAGTTTGAGACCACCAGCTCTCCTTAGACAAAGATGGGGCTTTCAACTTCCACAATGAGGCAGTTCTACTTTGTCCTATAGGGTCATGATGAGTCAGAATCAACTCAATGTCAGTGAGTTTTATTTTATACTGGTTGTATGACTATGGGCATGCTATTTCATCTCTCTGAACCTCCGTTTCCTCGGCTATAAAGTGAGGTGGTAAAAGCATCAACTCCATGTAGGGTCTTATAAACAAGAAATGAGTTTTGATACATGAACCCCTCAAAACAGGCTTGACACTCATTAAACACCCCATAAGGCAGAACTGGGAAGGGTAAAGAGTTCATTCCCTAAAGGCCAACTGGCCTGGTTTGGAATATGACACTTGGGGGTGCTGAGGTCTTGGGAGCAGTGCCTTACTTCCCTGTGCCTCATTTTTCCATCTTTACAATGTCCCACTTAAACGGTCTGCCTCACAGGACTGCTGGGAATATCACATACAGTGTTGTTAGATGCTATGGAGTCAGGTCCCACTCATCGTGACCCTGCGCACAACAGAATGAAACCCCCACTGGTCCTGCATCATCCTCACAATGGTTGCCATGTTTGAGCCCATTGTTGCAGCCACTGGGTCCATCCATCTCTTTCCCGTGCTCTCTATTGACCTAGCACAAGGTCTGTCTCTGGGGAGGGGTTTCTCCTGGTAGTACGCTCAAAGTAAGGAAAAGCACGTCTTGGAATCCTGGCTTCTAAAGAGCAGCCTGGTTGTGCTTCTTCCAAGATGGGTTTTTATACTCATGTAGAAAGCAAATAGCCGTGAGAAAGACAGGAAAGAATGAATTGGCCAAAGTGGATGTCCGCAGAGACACAGAGACTTTCCCTGAACAAAGAGTAGTGAGCATGAATGGAAGAAATGAGGAAGTAAAAGACCTGAATGGATGATTTCAAAGAGCAGCTCAAAAAGATAGCACCACTCCCCCATCTCCACCCCACTCCACCCCCCCAAAAACCTCACTGCCATGAAGTCAGTTCTAATTCATAGAGACCCTACAGGACAGTAGACAGCCCCTGTGGGTTTCCAAGGCTGTAAATCTTCACAGGAGTAGAAAGCCTCCTCTGTCCTCAGAGAGACAAAATAAAGTATGTAAAGACCTAGAGTTAGATCAGTGGTTCTCAACCTGTGGGTTGCGACCCCTTTGGGCGTCAAATGACACTTTCACAGGGGTCGTCTGATTCATAACAGTAGCAAAATGACAGTTATGAAGTAGCAATGAAAATAATTTTAAGGTTGGGGGTCACCACCACATGAGGAACTGTATGAAAGCTCACGGCCTTAGGAAGGTTGAGAACCACTGAGTTAGAGAAACGAACATGAAAAACACTCAGTGCTGCTCAAGCTGAAAGAACTGAAGAAAAACATGCAAGCCTCCAGTTGCAACATTGAAGGACTCAACCAGAAAAAAGGAGCCCAGGTATCATAGTGGATTTTACATAGGGCTGCTAACCACCAGGTCAGCAGATCGAAACTCCTAGCTTCTCTTCAGAAGGAAGAACGATGAGGCTTTCTACTCCTGTAGAGGAAGTAGAGTCATGGAGTTAATATTGACCAGATGGCAGTGAGTTTATGGGCAAAAAATAAAAGTAAAATCAGTGAATGAAGAGGACATATCAAAAGGAGAAGACAGGAATACACAGAGTCGCTGAGCCACTCGTTTCCGGAGGTAGCATATGATCCGGAGAGCATGGCACTGAAGAGAGAAGCCCAAGGTGCAGTAGCAAGGGCACTGTAAACGAGGCTCCAGACATCAGTGAAGTCATACATGTAACATGTGTACCTCCCTGAGCATCCACGTTCATAACAGCCCAGCTCACAATAGCCCCAAAGTTGGAAACACCCGCATGTCCATCCGTGATGGACAAACCGAGTATGATTTGGATACAAAGCAGAAGACTACTCAGCCATAAAAAGGAATGAAGGACATCCCAGGTGGACTTTGAACACATCATGCTGGATGACAGACAAGCACAACTCCAACCCCCCTGCCACCGTGTCCATTCCAAACCACAGCAGCCCTCCAGGGCAGAGCAGAACTGCCCCTGTGAGGTTCTGAGACGGTAACCCTGTGTTTCTCCCTGGGGGTTTCTAACTGCTGCCCTCGCATTGAGCAGCCCCTCAAATGACCACTGTGCCACCAGAATACAGACCCAAAAGGTCACACGTTGTACAATCACACACACACACACACACACACACACACACACACAAAACTGGAAAAGTACAGAATGGGGGCAAAGGGGTGGAGACAGAATATGGAATGACTGCCTAATGGGCATGGTGTTCCCTTCTGGGGAGATGAAAACATTCTGGAACCAGCTAATGGTGATGGTTGCGTAGCATTTATGAACTCAATGCCCCCGAATTGCTCACTTTAAAAGGAGTAACTAAATATATGTTAAGTGAATTTTACCTTTCTTTCTTTCTTTCTTACTTTCTTTTTTAATCATTTTATTGGGGGCTCGTACAACTCTTATTACAATCCATACATCCATGCATTGTGTCAAGCACATTTGTTGCCATCATCATTCTCAAAACAGTTTTACTTGAGCCCTTGGTATCAGCTCATTTTTCCCCTTCCTCACGAACCCTTGATAATTTATAAATTATTGTCCTTCCTTCCTTCTCTTTCTTTCTTTCTCTCTCTCTTTCTATCTTTCCTCCCTTCCTCCCTTCCCCTTCCTTCCTTCCTTCCTTCCTTCCTTCCTTCCTTCCTTCCTTCCTTCCTTCCTTCCTTCCTTCCTTCCTTCCTTCCTTCCTTCCTTCCTTCCTTTCTACCACAGAGCAGAGCATCACAGTTTGCGACCAGCTCAGCTCAGCCACTCGCTAATTGGGCAAAAGAATGCCGGCACGTTTCTCATGTCAGTCCCACTCTCCCGGTCTTAAGCGGCGAGTGCAAGAGCGCCTCCACCACGTGGTGATAGAGGGTTCTGGGAGCTAGCACGTGCTGAGCCCAGCGTGCGCCCCAAGCCTGCTACCCGCAGAGAGAGCTCCAGAGGGCTCAGGAGCACCCACCTCAACTCGCTGCAAAATGATGAAGACAAATTCTCCTGTGTTCAGTCCCAGGCTCTCGGCAGCCAGCAAGATCGCGTGCGCCTCCTGGGCGCTGCAGATCAGGATGATCACTGCAAGGAGAGAAGGCAGAGGCAGTCAATTGCGCCCTGGCACCCGCGAGTACGCAGGCGCATACATTTCAAAACATCTGCCCTGAAGCCACTCCAAATGAGTCGGGGCTTTTCCTTTCCTTGCGCGTGCTCCAGGAAGCAGGAGTGGCTGGCTCGTCCCTGAGAGGGTGCTTCGGAAGCAGGCCTGCAAGCACTCTGCACACCGGCAGTGACTGCCCCCCTGGGCTCAAGTCTTCGCAACCCAGAAAAAAGTTGCAGCGCAGTTTTGCATCCTGGTCTCCTTAGTTAAATTGGCACCAGAAATGTGGAATGACAGCCCTGGTTTGTGACTTGTCAGTCACATACTCAGATCAGAGTTCTCCAGGGACTTTGAGTTGGGATCAGAGTAAGGAACCGAAAGGCAGAAGGCCATGGTGCTTAGCGCCCCTCTGAACCCACCAGCAGTCATTTGGGGGACATGTAAATGAAGCAGTGAGGTTTTTTTTAATGAGGTCAATTATAATCTATTCATGAGGAGCCCGAGCGGCTTAGTGGTTTAGGTACTGGGCTGCTAACCTCAAGGTCAACAGTTGGAAACTGCCAGCCTCTCCACAGGAGAAAGATAAGGCTTTCTACTCCTATGAAGATTTACCATCTCAGACACCTGCAGGGACAGGCGGACAGAGTCACTGTGAGTTGGAGCGGCTCTATGACAGTCTGTGGATGCATGAGGAAGGAAGGGAGGAAGGATAACCTACTCATAGGAGCTCATTTGACACGTGCCAGGAACAGTGCTAGGCAGGGATTGTAGCAGGGAGGGAGGCAGAAAGTTTCCTGACTGTAGGAAGCTGGTATTCCAGGAGACAGACAGTATACAAGTGAATGAATTCAAAGGAGCAATTTAGTTTCTAGATAGTGGGATGTAGGGAAGCGAGGATGCTGGGTAGAAAATCACTCTGCAAAAAAAAAAATTTTAATTAAATTAAAAAAAATGTTAATGGGCCCAAGTAGAAAGCAAATGTTTTGAGAATCATGAGGGCAACAAATGTACAAATGTGCTTGACACAATGGATGGATGGATGGATGGATGGATGGATGGATGGATGGATGGATGGATGGATGGAT